TTATTTGACATGTTAAACACAGTACTGGTATTCCCTATAATCCATAAGTACAAGCCACAGTAGAAAGGGCCCATGCCACCCTCAAACATGATGGAGCCAGCCGTCACTTGTCGAACAGTACCTGAATGGGGGAGTGAGGATGAAGAAAAAGAAAGATGCAGAAAGAAAGAGAGATAGAGTTGGGAGGGCTCCCAGAGACCGAGCTGCTTTATTGGCTTTACTGCTCTCTTTTATAGCACTCAAGAATAAAAACATCTTACATAAGGCACATCTGAAAAGTTCTCAGGCCTTGAGACAGTCCCGTTTTTTCTTTTCCCTAGCTCCATGTCCTTGTGCTGTTCTTATCACTTTCTCCTATGCCTAACTTCTTCAGAGCTGGGCAGCAAGTTCTACAATATTTCACTTAACCCTTTCATAGGAAATCCAAGTTGTCCACCTTAATGCTTATATAGCTGTTGGCTCTCCACACAAATATCAATTGCTTAAACAATCACAAGGAAATCAGCTGCCTCCACAAGCCCATTTAGATCTAGCTGCTTTTGTACTTAAGTTTTTCATCCTGTAGCAGGCTTCACACAACCACCTGCTATGCTCCATTGCCATACAGATGCCATGGCTAAGACTCAGAAACCACAAGTCCTTTGGAAAGATGTCCAAACAGGTAAGTGGAATGGCTCTGCTGCCTTAATAACTTGGGGGAGAGGTTTTGCCTGTGTCCTAACAGATAATGATGAAACCTTGTGGCTGCTCTCCCAGAATGTGAGACCATGGGTCTCACTGGTGGAATCACCAACATCTCGGAGAATGGGTGATAGCACTCCAGCTGAGAGCAATGAGCCAGCTGCACCTGAGAGACCCACCTCACCAGCAATGATGAACAAATCCACAGCGGGGTCCAGGATTGAGATGATGTCCCCAGAGGAAGAATAAATATAGATTTAAATAAAGGGAGGGGGCACCACTTGAAAATGTTCTTTTTACATTTATAGGTATAAAAGTGCTTGCATTTCTTCTGATTCTAATCTCAAGAGATCTCTGTTAATTAACTACAAATGTTTTTGACCAGTCTTATATACAATTATAAACCTAAAAATCATAAAAGGGATATTATAATTCAATTTGCCCAAATATATTTGAGTGTGCACTCTATTTTTATAAATTGTCCCATATGTTTGTCTGTTGTCTGTCCGTTTGTACAGTTGAGCTCAAATTTTTTTCTTCTCTTTTCCTTTTGACCTTTTGAAAAAAACATTTTTTTTCCTTAAAAGATATTCTCCTATTATTGGATTGGCTTACAGATATATATTATTAAATTAAAGGCATGCCCTTTTTCCCCCAGATTGCTAACTGATCAAAGTGCCATTCAGATTTATTTGTCAAAGTACATAGAGACTGTGGGTACTCCCTTTGGTGAATAAAGAAGCAGCTGCCCAGAAAATAATTATTCTGGTCTTAATTCACTAAAGGGACCCCCTAGTAATTTTCATAATCTTATGGGAGACACACTGCAATAAATATTTTCTGTGTTATTATAAATTGATTACACTGGTTATCATTGAAGTTTAAGTTCTAAATACATTATAAAATATTTATATTGGTTAAGTTCTTACAATGTTATTGTGATATATCTACATTGGTCATCTTCAAAAGATTAATTTCTGTGGCATAAACAAGAGAGTGTTATTAGAAAGATGCTTTTGGTACCAAACTACATTGAAGAACATAAGGTTTTATGTAATTGTGATATTTATTACTGTTCCTTTTCTGGTGTACAAAATGTATTCATGACCTCTAACTGTATGGGTCTTTCAATATATTGTTTATGGTAATAACCTTTTGATTCAGATATTTGCCTTTCTCTTATACTCCAGCCACCTATGATAATAAGCACACTTGTAGGCTGACTTATTTTCCTTAGATGACATCCTATAAAATGATAGCTACTTAGGGATCCAACCACAAGAACAACCATAATTGGAAATAACAACATTTTAACTATATTTTTATTCCAAAATGTTAATATTCAGGTAAAATTATAATAGTTGAGTTCACTATTCCTCTTACAATGCCAATGTTATTAATATTCTCTTCTGGGTGTTCAACAACCAAAGTGTAGAGACCAGAACTAAAAAGGTATCTGGGCTAAGAAGGCAGTCAATATTTTGGCCCTGGCCCTCCAAGGTCAACAGCAATAGCAAAAAGATTCAGGTCATGAGGGAACCTTGTCCAAGATCCTGGATCTTTGGTGAGTCACCCAACCTCCTGAGCGGGGAGGTTGCTGAACACCAAAACGGTAAAGATCCAACAAGAAGTGTGCCAAAGGAATGTCATCTGGAGGAAAAAATCTCCCATGCTTTAGCGGAAGGCGACATAGTCAAGCAAGGCCGTGACATATACTGATGGCTGACACTGACAGAGGAGCTAAGATGCTCTATGCATGGTTCTAAGACAGTGCCTGAGGGGACTCAATTGACCTTGTTAGATAGCAAGAGGTTAATTTTATTTAATATAGGTCTCACCATAATTTGGTCTTAAACACCCAGTAGAAAAGAAAAACAGAAGACAATAGTTATTTGAGTTCAACAAAAGTTTTAAGTTTTTTAGCCAACATTGCTTTAAAAAAATATTAGATTTTTAATCCTTTTACAGCCTCAATTAAGAGAAAGTATGCTTATTTTAGACAGCTGAGCCAAACACCTTCTAGAGCCTCACAATACATAGGGACAAGCCATTGTTGGGTGTGCTCACTTTTCCTAAAAATGCCTTCACATAAAACAAAAAGAAAGGGAGATATGTTGGGAGCAATGCTACATAATTTTAGGGAAAAATCATGTGGTTAGCCCGGTTCTCCTGCCTACAGCCCAGCTATGGAATTCGGAGACATAATTCCATTTTGGCCTCCATTCACAACTGAGACCTCAATGATCCGGTGATGTTGTGATTCTCCACGACAAGATTACACCAGCTGAAGACATCCTGGGAGGAACAAAATCTTCATCTGCTCAGTACCTCATTGTTCTTGGATTGTTACATCTTGTTTATGCAGATGTACTGAACTCTCTGCAAGTCATTTGTTATATTTGTTTCTTCAGAGGTACTGAATAAAAGGTGAGGTAAGCTGGGGACTTTCATCTTTGCTGCCCAGAGCAGCACTGATCAGACCCAAAGTTCAGCTTCTTCTCAAAGTCTCATTTTTCCACTTTCTACCTTTCCTGTAATATGCCTTGTGCTGCTGTGGCTCACAGGAGACTAGTACTTACTGCTGAGGTTCTAGTAACGTCCCCTTTCCCTGCTCCCTACAGGCAGCTTGGACTTTGGCTTCAGGTAACAGTTTGGTAATTAGGCTAGGTTGTTACCCTCTGGGTGGTTCAGCTCCTCTCAGTTTCTACTGGGAGAAGGAAAAATCACCAAGAGAACTGATGACTGCTCATGGAAGCTGAACTGCAGTTTTCACTGTAGGGAATCCCTGGCAGCTGCTCAGCAGTCTTGTCATTTCTGGGATTCTGCCTTCACTCCTATTCTTGGCATCAGCTGCCTCTGAATGCTTTGTGGAAGGAAACTTTCTTTTGAGGTCCACAGGCTTCAACTTGGCTATGCTGCACCAGGCTACACACTGGGGTTTCTCTGTCTCCACTGTGTAGAGCTTCAATAGTAGTTTGGACATTGCTTGGGTAATTTCACTATACTATTTCATATAGAATAAGATTCAGGATGTTAATGTTCCCAGGAAATTTGTTTGTTTGCAATAGCCTTCTTGTACACAAATAACAGACTCACTGAGAGAGAAATTAGGGAAACAATTCCATTTACAATAGCATCCAAAAAAATGAAATATCTAGGAATCAATCTAACA